GTTTAAAAATTTAAGCATACGACTTGTACTATTTGCAATAAATTTTGTAGAATTTCAACGAAACATTGATTCTGATACGCTTAACATTTGCAACCGCTGACAGAGAAATGCGCGTTTAAATTCACTTGTAGCAGGTCACCGAGCTGTCAACAGCTGTTTGTTAAAAAAAAAAGCCATCGAAAAGCAATGCCAAGTTTCGGCCACAACAATGTTTTGCGAAAGCTTGAAAAATAAATGAAAATACTGAACATCGACCAAACACGTTTATGGGGAGTAATGGAAAAAAAACGAGTTTAACGGTACGTTTGTGACCTAATTCCCATTTAACATTTTAAAGTACCGCGACTCTTTTAACTCCATTACAAGAACGGTATTTAATTAACGGGGAAAAAATGTTGAATAGTTTCGCCGTAGTTAGTCCCGAAACTTCCTAACGTAGACCAACGTAAGAACCGCGCGCAAGTCGGTTGACTCTTAAAATGTCCATGGACCGAACATTTGAAAGAACTTTATAAATGGTTTAGCGATTGTACCCTCACACTATGCCGTGCTGTGCATCATGAATTTTACACGTAAAACTTCATATCTGTGGCCTTCCAACAATCGAAAAGCCACGCAATTTTATAAATAATATAAAAAAATACTCAAATCAAAATTTTCTTTTTTCTCTTTTTTTTCAGCGTTTTTTTTGGCGTGCATGGCTAATATAAGAAATGTATATCACTTTATACGCCAATACAGCTACATAGAAAAGATGGTTTCACGTCACATTTAGTTTAAGGACTTTTAGCACAAAGAATGTAGCAAGTTTTTCATGTTTCTTGGTTGATCCAGATACATAGGCAAGTAACTGAAGTTTAATCTTTCAAGAAGCCATTAAACACTGTTGAATTAATTCCGCACTTCTTTCTTAGACTAATTGGATGTTCGTGAAATATTTACATTATTCTCAATTTGGAACGACGGGATAGCGAAAATAGTGGAATCGCGGAATTAGCGAACGATCCGTCGAGAAAAGTTGCCACCACCATGCTATTCTTCTTCCATTTCCACCAATCAATTTCCTTCGTCGTCGCGCGCGCACACCCTTCCTACCCAGCCGAGTCAATTTAATTCTGATTAATTACATTTTAATTAATACAAACGCGTTTTCCGAACAACCTTAGGCCGCATCTGCGGATCAAGGGAGAACCTTGCAAACGGTACGGCTTCTTTTTGCGCTTACTTCTCTGCTTTTATCTCAAATGAAATCGAGGCGGGCTTGTCTCGGAAATCCGAATGAGAAAGACGAGTGACTCTTCAATCCGGAGTCGGGTTTTTCCTGCCATAGCGGATTAATGGAAAATAACGGCTAGCAACACAGAATTGCGGGATCGAGGAATCTCGTTATTTTCCTGTCGGAAACCCGTCGTTCATATTTATTTGTGACAGAACTGTTCCGGTACAAATATGCTGAATTCTGTCCGATAATTGCCTGAACACGACGACTACAACCGTTTCGTATCGTGTCATTTATAATTTTTCTACTGTCACCATTAAAGACAGAAGTTATATATCTATCAAAGTTAAATCGAGATAAATTTAATAAATGCGATTTAATCGGAAATTTCCATCGCGTGAATAACTGAATTGAGGATTTGACTCTGGTTCGAGATTGTACGCTTGAGAGCAAGAGGAGAAATTGAAGAAAGAAACAAATCCCAGTTGAAAATCTATTGATAGATTGCTGGATGGAAAAAAGAACAACGGTGACAATTGCGATATTACTTTAATTATCGAGAAATTATGGAGATTGTCACGATTTTCATTTCAAAATTTCTCCAAAATCTGATGAATTGGTAATTGTATAATACGATATCTCCATGAAATTTGTTTATCGTGTCAACTGTGGTTGCGTGACTGACGCAACACAAAAGAAGCTAAATAATCGTGGATCTTCATGTTACGCAATTGTACTTTATATTACAGTGAATCTGCTGTATCTCGTTTCGTTTTACCGTATCTTGTGTGTAACCAGATTAAACGCGAAATACGTTGCTTCATATCCGCGCAATTGCTGGTGTGCGCTTTCAAGACTCATCTCTTGTTTCTTGCATTAGTGAATTTCTCCGTACAACTTGTAGATAAAATCATGTTATAACGATATTCCAAAGTTGAAAGCTCCGTGCTGTACTAATAATTGTTCATAGCGGATGTCCGCCGCTCCTCTCTTCGGAGGCGGACGATCTTCTTTATCTCGACTACGCGGGCGGCATAGTCGGTTATCGTAGAAGAAAACCCATGCGGCAACTGCTCCACCTCGAGATTTCCCGGACGGAGGAACGCGGAAAAACATTCTCACAAAGAAACTCATCGTCTTGCAGCTGCAGGTAACGTTGGCGGTCTGCTGCGGTGCCTCCCTAAGATAATGTTAATATCCAGCTCGGTTTTGTAATTGGCAATTATTTTAGCTTACTCCGCTCTTTGTTCTCCGACGTTATCCCAGCGACGGTGCTCGCTTGGATTCCCCGAAGAATCCTCGAATGTGCCTGCAGCTGCGCCCTTTACGCAATCACTTCGGGGCTAAGCCGCCGTCGCCGACTCGTATCCCCGGCGGCCTGGAACTTCTCTTAACGCGAAACGTACGTCCCATTTTCCGTTGAATCTCTTGCCACCGCACCGACGCCGACGCCGACGCCGACGCCGACGCGACATACGCGGAGAAAATTCGGGATTTTCCAGGGACTCTTCCGCCGGAGACTTACGGTAACGGGATGAATATTTTCGCGGACGTTATCGCAAAACGGCGAGGTTCGTTCGTTGCGAGCGACGCGTGTCCACCCACCAAGGAAGACGGATAGTCAAAAGCGGCATCGGGATCACGATGGGCGCGTTTTAACGGTAAATGCGAGGCGTGGCTTCCGGACTTTCGCGTTACGGCGGCGTGCGCTATCGAGGACAGGCATAAATCCTGATGCCTCGACCGCGACCGGCCACGAATGAGCGTGTGGAAACGGATCTCTCTGCGGCGTACGCGCTTACAAAAGCGAAAGGTTATTAACGAGCCTAGATTAAACCCGATAACACGCCGCGGCGATATCTTTTGGCTCATGGCGATGCACGAGGCGCCCTTTGCCGGCGCCGGCGCCGCCGCCGCCGCTACCCTCTCGTTATCCATTTTCGCCGTTAACGTTTAATGCATTCCCCGAGCGGGACTGGCGCGCACCCCGTGCCAGTCGCAGCAAGCCTTGGCTCCACAAATTTTGCAAAACACCGATATAAATCGTTTGATAACGCGCATGGCCCTAGGCGTCGATATATACAACGCGGGAGTCGACGGCAGCCAGGTGGAGCAGAGTACGAGGGATACGGGAAGAGGGAATGAGAGAAAGAGGGTGGGTCAGCTGGAAATTTGGCGATACGCCAGGCGGCACCGACGACGCTACGAAGTGCGCACTCCGGCACCAGCCGGTGCATCGCGTCGCTCGGCCGACCGAACGTGTCGGATGACGTAGCCGAATATCGCTAATTGCAAAAACTACCACCACGGAACATCGCCCACGGTATCCGCATCGTACTTTTTAACCCGCGCTAACCCGTGCGCGTCGCGTCCGGTTTTGAATTCGATCCTATCGCAGGTAATTTAGACGTTTCTTTTAACGCGAAACCGCAACGCCAGCAATGTCACATGTCAATGTACGGAATTTCATGAAAACTTTTCTAATATTCACACCGGTCCTTTAGACATGTTTCAACTGACACGGCTGTGTATTCGACGATATAGCGAGAATATTTTGACGTCACTTTCAATTAATATGGATATAAAAAAGGAAGACAGACAGACAGATACAGAGAAAGAGAGAGAGAAGTGTACGAATATATAATAAAAAGATTTAAAATTTTTCAGCCCGTGAAAATTCATACCAGTACGATAAAAAAATATGAAAGTATCGCAAAATGTATCGGACATTCAAACGAATAATAATACATTTTTTAAGGGAATATTAAATAAAATAGAGAATCGCGTGACTAAAAGTATTAAAATTAATTCATTCAAATAAATTCACGCTCGTTACGTACAGCGTGAATTTCAATCTTTAAAATGGCAAAAATCCGCGATGATCAAGAGGTTCAGTGAAGAAACGTTTCCCAAGGTCTGTGCAGTGGCGCGGACACTTACGGCAATTAAGCATTTCTCCTACAGGATCCACAAACTCCCCGAGAAAAAACTAAATAAATAGAGGACCGCGGTAGTTCGTCTTGCACGGAGTCGGCCGCGAAGGACGGGGTCGATGTGGATACGCGACGGTTGGTAGTGCCAGGAGCCTGTGCAAACACAAAAGCTCACGGCTGAAGATAAACAGTGAGACTGTAAGCTGCAACATACCTTCGGGCATTGCGCGGATAGAGGTAGGAAGAGCTGCAGAAGGAGAGAAATACACGGACATTGTGAGCCTCTTTCGAAGAAACCGGGGGAGGAAGTAAGACGCGCGAGGGAAACCCTGGCGAAAAGAGCTACCTATAACGTTGACACCTATACCTAACAGCCAAAGGCACCCCCGCCTCTTCCGGAGGTCCTCTGTAAACTTACGACATTAGACCGTCTGCGGAATAAACTCTCGTCTTAACGGCGAAAGTATACATGACGCATAATCCACTTTGTTTTTCCGCTGCGGCTTGTGCGCGATTTTTGCGTAACGTGGGAATGTCTCGTCATGAATCTTTTCTCAAATCTCAAGTTTGCATTATATATATATATATATATATATATTCTAGACTGCGAATTTCGTTCAAATGGAATTGTCGACTAAAAGCGTCGCTTATAAAGGACAGATAAAAGCTACGTTTGCGTTTTATTTGTTAACACAATATGCAATATGCAACATTGAAATCATATAATATATGTTTTAACATGCATGATGTATCAACAACATGAGTAAGACAATAATAGAAATAAACCAGTTTTAATTAATAGCTACTTTTTCGTGCAATGTTCAATTTTAAAATGCTTTGCATGTTACCTGTTGTTGTTTCCGTTAGTTAGATCAGAAATCGTCCTGCAACAAACGCAAATAATATTGCTAATTAATTACTATTATATAACTAATAATAAATGTAATTATGCCATTTCACTGGATTGGAAATAATAACATAATTAAATTTATTAATCGAGCTGACTTTCCGTTTTAATAATACAATCTGTGAAGCAAACGAATATATGATATTAATTGTAAATATTATATTGTTTCTAACATGCTTCATGTTTAGTACAATGATATAACTCTTATTAGAGAAAATGTGTTTACATCGCTTATTTCAACACATATAATTACAGTTCTTTTTCTTTTTCATTCAGTCAATTTTTCTTTTAATTTAAAATAGCTTCGAAAACATTGATAGATAAGAGTATATTTTGTAGCAGCTAATCTAGTTTGAGTCTTAACTTGTAACTAGGTTAGTGGACGCGTGCTCATCGTCCGTGACAGAGGTTTGCACTTCAAAACTACGTGACGTGGCTTACGTTCATGCTGCGTTCCCGGAAAAGTGACGCGTTGGTCATTACTTGCAGTCACGAGTACTCGATCGCACGGGGAATAATTAATTCAAGCAATGTCATTAAAAGTACAGCGAAAGTTAAAACGCGCTAAATGACACGTTTATCTCGGTTTAGCTCGTCAAAACGACACTTCCGTCGGAATAAAAATAACTCGTGGGAGAGACGCAATTATGAAATTTAATAAAATATATCTCATTAAAGAGATATTGTGAGTCATTTACACGCCTGGTCCTTTTTATTTTGTAACGAGGAAAAATAATTAACGTCAAATAATCGATAGGTATGTGCACGTAAATAAAATAAAAAGAAAAACGCAGTCATATAGCTTTTATACACAGCTGATAGCCGCAACGATTATCCGTCGAATTTATCACGAACATATCTCCCGAGGCCTGCATGTGTCGGATTCGTGTATATAATTTATTATCACTTCGCGTTACTAAAAATGCCTTTACTGATTCATTCGCAGACGCATAAAAACCACGCCGTCATACATTACTCCATGGAGACCCTTGTATCCACTTTACGCACACACAATCAACCCTCCGCTATAAAGCACCTCAACCCAGCAATATTTTTCCCTCCACTTTTGCGTTTCACAACTTTGAGCATGAATATAAAAGGCAACGGAAGTCTTGGGAACTTCATCACTATATTCTTTCATCAACTTGTTATCTCATCAAACATTTTACGGCATCGTGTCTTGGTAGTCAATTTTCCTGCATTATTTTTCGCAAACTTACTGCATATTTAACGGCCGAATGTAATTACAACAGATTTTCGCAGTTTCGATATTCGAGAACTAGAATATCTTCTCATTTCACTGTGATTACATGACTTCGTGGGCGAAGTTTCCATTATTGTATGTAAAGTGGCGTGTGCGGATATAAATAAATTTCGTTCGTAGCATTCAGTGGGGCCAAGAAGTCTAAAGCTAACTGAAGTTGTACCGAGTTTGAAACTTGCTCCACGAAGCACAGAAGCAGTAAGATCTTGCACAATGCGTTACAGGGTGTAGGACTCCCTTGTTAAAGATTAGCACGATTCTAGAAAAGCTCTTCGAGAGTGAATGAAAGACACGAACGGGGATATTGTTTTCTTGTCGCGTGCTTCGAACTAACTTTGAGTGGGTAACAGAGATATATAGTAAAGTAGAAGCAAGATATCGTTAAAGAGTAAGCCTGGGTTCTAAGATCATTAAAGAGAACTTTAATTAGGATTAAAGTAATAATGTTATATAAGAAAAGACGTGTGTGTTATAATTAGATTTATAATTCATGCGTACTTAACGTTGATGACATCACGATTTTTTTCATTTCGATCGTAATATCAAAGAATTGTAATAATGATCCGATTACATCTCGATATAAAACATTTGCTTTTATAATCTGAGAATGGCAGAAATATTATGCTAATATGAATTGAACTGATTGAATTTATCATCAATAGTACTTTATTGCAGCTTTAATACTTTTTGCTTGTTAAAAAGATGTTACATTCTTGGGATAAAAAATAAAAATATTATAATCTTTTCAAAAAATTAACAAAATAAATAACAAAATTTACATCTTGCGAAAAAGTAATAGATTATAGGATCAGACATAGGGAAGACCGGGACTGGTTGTCATACGGGGTTGATTGTCAAAATGCTTATAACTCAAACAAGACACGGCAGAAAAATTTCTTTTTTTGACTGTAGATAGCTGATATAATATTAATTTGTTGTGTAAAATGGTTTGCACCACAAGCATTGTATATATTATTTATAGCGATTTTTGAGAAAATGAAGTCGGTGAGTAAATTTTTATAATCACTTATTTTGTTGTCTGACAAGTCTTTGGCATTATTAATCGTAATATCCCTGTATTCATAGAAAATGACATATCTTAGAAGATCTTTGCTACAATTAAGTAATCATTATTCTGACTAAGTTTGTGAATATAATCTCTTTTATTAAAAATGGCTATGTGGGGTAGATTGACCAAAATGAGATGAGGTTAAGTGACAATTAATTTTTTAATATCTTTAGAGGACAGATTTTCAGAGAATATACTTACAAATATATTATATTTCATATAGATATATGTTTTTTCATTTTTCATATAGAAACTATGATACAAAAACAAATTACGTATTTTATGATTAAAATAACTATTTTATTTGTATTAACATTATAATTATTATTATTTCTCAAAATATAGAACTGATATTAAAATAAAAATTGTGTTTTTTATATGTGTTGTCCATAACAAATATGCTACTGCCAATCCTAAAACGTGTGACATCAGTCCAGAACACGTGGTTAATTGTCATATTTTCGCAGCTTCATTTAAAATTAAATAACTTATTTTTATGATATGATGAATTCACGAGTAATATTTTTTTAAATATACCTAAAGGATGTAGGTATATTGTAACATATATAATATTTCAAAATCAGGCATCCACTTTTTTCTAAAAATCAATAATCAAAAACGTGACAATCGGCCCCGATCTTTCCTACCTAATGTTACAGAATGTTTACGATTTCTGTAAAATTGTTAAATATCTACACAACATGAATTTTTAATTAAATATTACTTTATTAAATGATTAAATTATGTTATAAATTTAAGACACTTCCAAATGTTTTTACGTTTATCATAATTTTTGTGTATTTATTTATCACGAATATTTAATAGACGGTTACGTTTAATAAATATACATCTATGCATATGCTTTTTTTTCAAAAAGAGTAATTAATACGTTTAATAGCAAGAGCATTTGATTGCTCCCTGTAATTACAAATACAAACGCTCTATTTGCTTTTATCTGTTACGTTAAACACGAACGTCTTTTTCTGCTGATGCCGGCACGTGCTACAAATCACCCTATTAGAGCGATTAATTGGGTCAAAATCATTATCGGTCTCTCCGTTGATATAATTAATGATCGTGACTTTGAGCAGTTAACTTTAATTACTGGATTTGCACCGCATTCATTATTGCACTTACTAACTGTATACACACACACGCACACACATACCCACACACACATGCATCTAGACATAATCTCGTTAATACTAGAAGATGATGTTAGAATTATGGTGCATTATTTAAGCTATCCATGTAGTTCTACAGGTATAACTTACAGGATCTTATACAGCTTTTGTGAGATAACAAAAGAGATAATTCAAAAAGAAATTAGTCTAAAGTATATATCTATGAATTATATTTTAAATAAAATGTAGTTTTAATTATATGTGATTTTAACTCTCCATATGATTTTATTCGCTAAATAAACGTCTGAGGTATAAATTTGGAATTATTGCATTATTAAATTTTTTCGCATATGAATAAAAATCAATATATATATCTATATTACAATGTGGTTGCGTAGAACAAATTTGTTTCTCGTGAAAGCATATAGCATATATATATATATGTTTCAGAATTTAATAAAGCTAGAACAGCACACGAGAGCAGTATAAAACGCACGATCAGAATAAAATAATTTTCTACCAGCTAGCCTGGAAAATTTCATGGAATGGTAGGTTACCGATACATGGAATACATACGAGACACGCGCATTATGAAATCAATATTTGATGTTGCGCCGATCAATAAATGAACGCATTGTTTTCTGAAACGTATTTTCGTGCTTATTTCGTGGCTCATTTGTGAATATTTTATGGTTAATGGAAACGCGAAAGATTTAACCTGGCACGTTTTCTATACATATATCAATGAACATAAGATATCCCAACTAAATCCGTCGTATCGACAGAAAGAATTCCATTCAAGTTGCACTCGGCATTTACGTGCAAAGTGTACGCGTTCATCATTCTTCTCAGAGTTTCTCGTATCGTCCCCTGTCTTACGTTGATGTAGTCAGAAGGCAGCGCGTTCTTTACACACAAAACAACCTTGTCTCAGGAACATTCCGGTGCACGTACACCTCCGGTACGATACCCCTTTACCAGGAGCTCGACGAACGCGAATGCTGGGTTTCGTTCCCAGCAGTGACTGGAAGAGGGGTTGGGTCTCCAACAACTTGAACAACTTCACAATAGCCCCGGCCTTTGCACGCCACTCGCGAAATAAACTTTACTCGCGTAACTTTAAAATTGATGATCGTGCCGCCGACACATGTAAGAATGTCCGAAAGAGAAATACAACGTCCGTCAATGACAGTTTATCGACATGGCTTCATGTACACCCAGCATCGTATAAATTTTTTATGATAAACTAATCACTATTATTGCGAGTTTCTATTTGATTTCGATATTAGTATTATGAAGGATATGTTTATGAAAACCGTGCAAAAAGAGATGAGATAGATAGATAGATAGATAGATAAAGAGGAGAGAGAGTGTGTGTGTGTAAAAACTCTTTCAACCGATCGATTTCTCTCTTTTTCACAAAAAAGAGAGAAAATGTAGAAGTGTATGTATAATAGTTACAAGCTCCTGCCGATGCTACTAGTTGTATGACCAGTGAGAAAATTTCAGATCTGCCCGAA